CGTACCTTACTGCCACCCGCAAGGTCCGGCCCGGCCCAGCCCGGCTCGACGGCCCCCCGGCCTCCCCTGCCCGAGAGCCGCCTCCCACGGGCAGGCTGTGTGTATGTGTGCGGTAGACACCGACAGACACACGTACAATGGAGGTGTTCGTATAGGCGTGTGTGTGTCTTTACCCCCTGTATATGTGTGTAATCCTAGATGTATCCCTCAATCCATAGGTTTATATAGGGATTCAAATTATATATTTACCCCTTTAAGAAAGGACAGAAATGGTATCAAAATAAATAAATGATGTGTTATTTATATGTAAAATACAATATGTTATGCACACACATGCATAGTTTGAAACCCCTCTATAAAGATGTGTAGGTATAGATACAGACCCAGACCCTGGCTCGCCAGGCACTGCGGTGCAGCAGGGGCCTGCCCACCCTTGCAATTCCCCTGCCCTCTTGCCCTCCCTGGGTTATATTATTTGTGAGCTTCCCCGGGTGGGAAGAGACGCAGAGGGCCATGACTCAGCTACTTGGCTGGGTGGTGTCCAGCCACTGTTTGGCAGAGATAAGCCCCCCCCCATCCTCCCTTTATTCCGGGCTTTTTGTTTGGTTTTGTCCTGACACACAAAATAAAACCTACTCTGGGGACTGCTGCAACAGAAGCAAGTGTAGGAGCAGAGCAGTGATGACAGAGGAGAGGTGTCCCAAAGTAAGTGACCGAGTGAGCCCCCAGGGCTCCTGAACAGAAAATATGGGAGGGGAGCTATATTCATATGCATGTGCTGGGACCCACCAATAAACCACGTAAGGTACTGCAGGAATTTGTACCATTACCTCCAATGGCATCTTGAGTATTTTTCATCTGTGCTGTCAACTCAGTGTTGGCAGAGAAATGGCGCGTGGGTAGTCATGCATCTGAGCCTTACTTCAGTCATGCTGTACCAGGTGTAAGTGTTGAAACCATGTGGTTGTTGTTGATCTATTCTGTGCTGACTCCCTGTGCTTTTAATGATGGTGCTTACTGCGGTGCTGCTCTGCACAGTTTCTCAAGGTGCACTTTCAACTTGGGGTATTATTTTACATCTTGTCTCTTGTGTAGTCAGGGAAGGAGCTTTAGTGGGACACAGGACCTGTATGAGGATGAAGTTCATTTAGCCTGGGATCTCTTATGCTTACTACCCACTCTCTAATTGCTTTATCCAGTTGAAATTATCTCCTTACAGTCAGACTCCTTTCTTGGAGCTGCTCCCTCGTGTAAGACATCTCAGGTGGCTGACGCTTTTCTTTTGTTACAAAGTTCAAAACATATCTGTTAGAGTCACCTGCCCACTTTTGCAAGGGTAAATGTACGTTATTAACAATCAGCAGTAGTGCTGTTATTTTTGAAGGTACTTTTAAATTCATTTCTTCTAATACTGGCCTTGTTAGGAATCAGAGGTTTATTAATATATCTGTGAGGCTGTAAATGTGGCTCAATGTAAATATCAAGGTGAGAAAATCAAATTGTTTAAGGTCATCCTAGCAGATGATATAACTAATAAACTTAAATTAGGAAATGGAGTATAGGCAAAACGTTTTTCATCCTGAATTTGTGTTTCCATTAAAAAAGCTGGCATTCAATAATTTAAAAATCTAACATTAGTTACATTTTCCAAAAATATCTATGAAATACCTGTAGCAACTTGAATGGAAGCCCATTTGCTGTGAACAGAAGTCTATGGGATTCCATGCTGATGTAGTGCTTCTTGCAGTCAAAATAGTAAACCACGCAAATATTGAGCAGGTCTTCTAGCAAAAAAATGTCTGAATTTTTACCTTGGAACACTGGAATGATAAAGCGCTTTTTATCTAAAATAGGGTCTGCTGTGCACTGCCTTGGAATATTATCAGTGTTACACAAATTGCTAATAATGCGTAGTGTTTTATAGCAGCTCTTTGTAAGTGAATCTGCATAGGGAGTGATCACATGCTACAGTGTAGTACTCTGACATTTACATTTTAAAGCAGCTTCTGATACTGAAGTCTCAAAACATCCCTATCACTTGTTTCCAACCTCTCTCTTATTTTTCTGTGTCAGCCATTGCCTGTATTAGTTTCTCCACTGACCACTGAAGATGTTGGAGGATTACTTGGAGCAGTAAATGTAGCTCTGATCTTTGGGTGGAGTTTGCAACTACAGGTCTTTGTGAATGAGACAAAAGTAGATCCCCCAAGAAGCCATTTTCTGACTTTGAAAAGATAATGGGGACAGGCGTGACTGGGATCAGCTGTGAGGACATGGTTGTGCTTCTGTCAACATGCAGTGGTAGGGCAGCATCTATGCTGGCTTTGTGCTCTTATGGCAGAGGACAGAGGCCACCCGGTCCAGTGTAACGCCTGCTGGTGTCAGGTTAGCCTACTGAAATCTGTTAACAAATTTGAGCCGGCAAAGTAAGTTCACACAGAGTCTGCACTCTGCATCATGCTGCCACAAAGCTTTTATTCTGCTGCATGGAACACTGCAACCACATTTATTGTGTCATTGGACCATAGCAGCTGTCACTGGCTCGTCCCAGGTGTGTCAGCTTGCTGGCTTCTGTCACTCATGAGATGTGTGGTGTAGTGCTTGCAGCACTGTAGTGCTTGCAGCACTTGCTCTGGTCTTGGGGAGTGTCATCAGTCACCCGAGGTCAGTGGTGGCTGTTACCAGAGCCACCTGAGGCATACCGTCAGGGTCTTCGGTCACCACATCTGTCAGGCAAACCACTGACAGCAGCCGCTCATCTCACTGACGGCAGTTTTGGTCAGAAACTGCCCCCCGAGCTGGCACTCCTGTTGGGCAGCCAACTCCTCATTACTGGTGGGTTGGTTATGGCAGCCCTCTCACTCACCTCAGATGCCAGAACTGACAGAATTTGTACCAAAAGTGCAAGAAATACTTTAGGCTGGAAATATTTTTAAGTTCTTTTGTACACATAAAAATAAAATCAAGTTATATGAGGTGACCAAGGCAGCTGTTAAAGCTGGTTTACCCACAGCATGACCTACTGCAGCACATTTTCACTGTTCCCTGCAGGTGGAGCAGTATGTTGGTGAAATTAAAGGTGGCCTGAGACCAGCCATGAAACTCACAGTCATAGGAATGGTGCACTCCAACCCCAAGAGGTAAGTGAAGAGGCTAGTGGGGGTCCCATCCTGTCATACATGCTCTTACCCGTCTTCTAAATTCATAAGATTTCTTGAGGGTCTGTGCTCTTTGGAGGAAGAAAGTCAAACAGATTTATCATTTATGACATTATTTAATTTTCCTGCTCTTAGATTAAAAGAGAAAGAAAGAATTCACTGTTCAGCCTTTCTGAGTGCCCTGTCAGGATTTTCTACTCCTTGTCCTTATGTGAACTGGAGGGGGCATATAGGTGAGGTGGCATTTCTCCTCCAGGAAGAGGTGCAAATCTGAACCTGCATCATGGCTGGCTGCTGGGGGCTGGAAGCAACACCATTTAAAAACCAATGGTTTTGGCACAGGAGGTGCAGGTTCATTGCTGTGTTTAATCTGGATGACAGCAACTATACTTATCATTACACTGTTCTGCATCTACAGCAATCAACTCCAGTGCTTCCACTGTTGAAGAGTTTGCCATAACCTCTTTTAGGACCCAAATTAGCATTGGCTCATGCACAAACGTGGGTTTGATTTCAGTCACAAGAGAGGGGAAGCAACATCAGAAGTCACTAGCATCCTACTGGAAACTGGAGGAGAAACAAAGACCAGCCTGTTCTCACCCCTGCAGTTTCTAAGCCTGTAGAAATCTTGTGTTTCAGTTTGACAAGAATTCAACGTCTGTCTCTAGTCTTTATAGGCATCTGCCATGTTCACCATGTCCTTTCACGTTTATGAAAGTCCCAGTCATTTAATTGTTTTTCCAGCTTTTCAGTGACTCTGCTCTGTGATCCAGTGGATGCAAACCGAGATGTGGGGCTGTTATTTACAGTTAACTTTAGTGACAAATCCATCACCCGAAATGCACGAATTGCTGGGAAATGGGGAAGAGAAGAGAAGACCATTCCCTACTTCCCATTTACAGCAGGCGACACGTTTAAGGTAATTTTGGGGGTACTATGAGTAGGGTAGAGAAAGGGAGGGGAGAAAGGCTGAAGGCTACATATATGACCACAACTAGCTAACTATTGACACTGTTAGTTAACTAGACTAGTATGGCACAGAGAGCAACAGCTCAAGCCCTGATGGGAGAGATCCATTCATTTCTCTAGTCTTAGTGAAAGAACTCGCTATAAGGAGCTTTATATTATTATCTCAGCAGAGGGTAGGTTATTTATTAGGGGCATTTCAGAAGAACCAGCAGACTTTGTGCTTCGCTGTCCCCATCCTATGGGGTTCTAAGTCCATACTGGTAAAATCAACTCTGCTGCTGTTCTCTAACACCCTCCCCTGTCCTTTTCCATTGCAGATGGAGCTTTTATGTGAACACCAGCAAATACGAGTCTTGCTTGACGGACGGCAGCTCTGTGACTTCACTCACCGCATTCAGCCCCTAAACTTGGTGAAAGCTTTGCAGATCTCAGGGGACATCAAGCTTACCAAAGTGGCTTGAAAAAAGGGAGTCCACAATAACACCAGGGGACAGAGGCAAATGTACTTTCTCCTGTGACAAATGTTTTATCTTTTCCCCTGGCTGATTCTGGAGAGTGAAAACTCTATCTTTTTAATTTACTGATGTGTTTGAAATATACACTTTTTTCCTCATATACACTCAAAATTGTAGAGCTATGAATGGTCCAGGTAAATCATAGAGCCTTTGCTGTGATACTCTTTTGGCCTCCCATACTGCAAGATTTATGATGCTATGCAGTATCTCGTGGTCCCCTAATCCCCCAGGCATGACAGCTGGCAGAGCTCAGTCCTCTGCGGTGGGGTGGCTGTGACCCTTGTGACTAGAACTGGGCAATGTGCAGGTGGTGGGACTGAGGAAAGAGAAGCAGATTTTCTTATAAGTGAATAAGGGAGTCTGGTGGGCCCCAGCAAGGCTCACATTATCAGGAGGGAACGGCTTTTCCTGGAAGCTCTGCTCAGTCAGCACAAAGCCATCTGCGCTTCCCAGTACAGAGTAATAAATGCCTTACCAGCATCCCTTGTCTCTTGCAGGTAGCATTCTCGTGAACTGAAAGGTTTCAACAGCTGTGGATTTCACAGTCTTCTCTGAACCAGCTCTAGGAAATGGTATCTGTAGCTGAAACTACATTGCCCATTATTGTATCTAATTAAAAATGCACCTTTGCTGGCAAAATTTTTTACCAGCTCTGTTAAATATTTGAATGCACATGAGTGTTGTGCTGTTATTTCATTGCTGTAGATTCAGAAAAAAGTCCTAAGTACATGGCTATTCTAATACATATATAAGCATATATCACAGCTGCTGCCTTTGGCTCTGTTATGATTGGTTGGTTTTCAGACAGGATGAAGGGGAAAATCTTTAGATGAAGATACTTTTTTTTTCAGTACATACCTTGGAGAACAAAAAATCTGCAAAGAAGTGGTTCACTGGATAGGGAGCTGTTGAATTCCTCTATGACTTCAGGGAAGATATATAGCATGCTGTCTTCAGAGTGCTTTTGGAGGCTCTGCAGAGTCTGGCTAGCAGATAAAGGTACTCAAGATAACATGAGAAATTTTATGAAAATAGTATACTATCAGCAGGCTGGTCAGGTGTTTTAATTATTTTGTACATTCCATTCTACCCTCTGGTGTTGTGGAGAACATCTCAGTTTCTCTAAAAATTAAAATTTACAGTGTATGCAACCATTATTTTCATATTCTCAAACTCTGATAAAAAGTCTTATCTAAAGAGCACAGGAGATTCAAATGCACTGAACTTTTTTTTATATTTAATGAAATCAAAGTCAAGTTTACTAGACAAATAATGGAAAATTTAATGGCTTAAAGTAGAAAAAGCAATAGTCAGAACTGCTATTAGAGTTCTTGGTCCCAGTGGTGCTCCACATAAACAGATTTATGGTGATAATCAGGAGGAAAAGTCTTGATTTTATGGCTGAATGATTTCTTCCAATATATTCAGCACCAGCAATTGTCTGGAATAACTGCCACTGTTCTGATTTGATGCGAGGGTCCTGTACTGCTATGGGCTACTACCAGCACAAGAATAATCTATATGCTAGAGGGGAGGATCCTTTGATCCTTTCCAGCCTAACAGAGAGCCAAATGTTAGAGCAGATGGATGGACAGACAGACCGCTGGTTTGTTTTGCAATAGTGATTATCCTGGCAGCTGGGTTGTGGCTTAGCACAAGACCCTTGTGGTATAGTAAGAACAGCAGCCTCAGACACCAGGACCTTTCAGGACTTTGATTCAGTCAGTCTTAACTAAGTTTTATGAGACCCTTTATAAAGGGAAAAGGAGCAAGACACTTCTGCTTTAGGATAAAGCACAACCTGGATCTGTCAGATGTAGACTGAATACTTGTACTTCCATCTTGGAATATTATCTCATTGTTTCTTTGTAAAGCCCCATTTCTCTGTATCAACCTGTTGTCTTTTGTCTCTTGGTTAGATAGTAAGTTCTTGGTGGGGAATTATTCTGGATCTACCTGACTTCTAGACATCTAGGAGTCTGCCAGGAACTGCTAGGCACTGTGGTGATACAAATAAAAAAATAGACTATCTAAGAGAAAAACACTCCCAGACAATGAGAGCAGGAAACTTGGTCACAAATGTGACTTGTCATTTGGCATGGAGTCCATCTTACTCATGTCAGTGGTTTGATTGCCTCAATCCACTGTGCTCGCTCTGTCTTGGAGCTGGCCTGGATGTAATAATGAATGTCCTTTTTGGTGATGATTTTAAAGAGGTTTCCTTGCACATTGCCCTTCACTCCTGCAGAGAAAAAAGATATGACAGATCAGGAAGCTGCACAGGGAAATGCTTTGTGGCAGATATGAAGCTTCATAGGGAAGAATATTAATTTAGTGAATTAGGGTATCAGACCTTTCCATTTCATTATGGATAAGACATCTAAAGCTCTTGTGTCTTTGATTCCCCTTCTGCAATATAAAGATGTAGTACAGCACCCCTCACATAAACTGTATGAACTACTGTGTACTATCCATCATATATAAAATACTTGCCGATTAAATGAGGAATCTTACTTGAGTTATACAATGGAAGGATGAGCACCCTACCAACTTGTGCAGTACATTAGATTGGCTCCTGCCCACCTTCAGGTTCCTCTTAGCAAGGAGTTCTATTGTTCATCATGCCCCCCCAACCCTGGACAGTATCTTCTTCAGGCCCTGTCTTTTGCCTTTAGAAAGATGCTCCCTATTCTAGATCCAGACATTGTGCTTACTGTCATAAAATAAATTGCTTTAACAGCAGAAACACTTATCTGACATTCTAGACAAATGCCTAAGCTAAGCATATTGACTAGCAGAAACGTTGTTTGTATTGCTGTCTTTATGTCTCACTTACATTGGTGTTCTAGCAGATAAAAAGGAAAAGGTCATAGCATAAGTAGAGAGGACACACAGAAAAGTGGTGGCATTAGGGGATACCTCAAGATTTTGCGTTAAACAACATCCAAAAAGAAGGTGTTTCCTCTTTGTCTGTTAACTCTGGAACATTAATCAGTGTTTTAGGACTGTCTCAGAGGTTATCTGACTGAGAAAAGCACATAAAAAGGGGAACACCCAAGATAAGTGGAAATAACGCTAAAAAAATCCCCTTTGATACGGACAATCCAGCAGTACGGGGATTTTTTATGATACGCCTCTTCACTTACTTGCAAGGGGAGAGGAAAAGCTAGGCCACTTGTGCATATAGACAGCCATACACACAAACCCACACCAAAGACTGTATTGCTATGGCAGCAGTATGTATATATGAAAGTTTAGAGGCTCATGCTTACCTGATGGGACTCCGTTGTCCTCCAGAGCTGAGACAAGACAGCCACGGAGAGAAAATCCACCTACTGGCCTGTTTTCTTCCTGCAAAGAGAAAGAAAATGAGGCTTATCTGGAAAATACCATAATTGGAATAATTTCTCAGAGCAGATCAATTATTTTTATGAAGGTGGAGACGTAATGCCAGTCTTTCCAGGTATAAAACATCCATGTCACAAGAGAAGCCAATTAGGACATGTAATTAAATGCATTACTATGTTGTTTCAGTCTCAGATATTTCTCTGATGTAGCTGGGAATGGTAGAAATCAATTAGAAGCACAAGGGTAGACTAACAATCACAGTTCAAACTTATGTATAGTCTTATTAATAACACGCATATTAATTAATATATATATTTTTTTCTGCAAGTTTTCAGCTTGCTGCTTTTCACTGAGACTGTACGGGAAAAATTTGACTGTTTTCGCTAGTAGACTGGCTTTCTTATCTGATCTTCAGGTTCTGCAGTTTTTGTTTACAGCATTGCAAGGGCAAGTTGCAGTGCAAAAAACCCCCACAAAGAAACAGGCAACAAAAAATGAACCAGCTCTATAAACTCTTTTCACTGTTGTGTTGTGTTTTCTTTAACAGTCACATAAAGCATTTCTAGATGTGTTCTTTTAGCAACCTGTTGGGCTTTGTGATACCGTATGCGTCTGATGGATTCACATGCCCTTCTGGGTTGCTCACACTGATTATTGTATCTGTGAAGATAAATTCTACTGTTCCCTGAGCAAATTTAAAACTGAGTAGCAGAAATTCCTATAAATACTTTGACATTGACCTATTTAATGTGGGAATAAGAATGGAAAAAATCCCAGTAGCAGTATGACCCTCACTTGGTGAGATGTCAGTTCAGAAAGATCACAGCCCAGGAAGAATCCCTGCAAGAGCACGGCCCCATACTGTGTGGGTACAAACAAAAGAGCAGTCCCAAGAAGACTGCTGCCCCTCGGCTAAGGAAAAGGAATCTCACTGGGGAAAAGACAAGAGGAAAGACGCAGGGATAGAAAATCCTACAAGGACAACCTCCCAGGGTAAGGCCAGAGAGGTCTTATTCCCCATGAAATGGGCAGAGGATCCCAGAAGATTTGGGTGAGAGAAACATTTATAGCACAATTGTATTTTCATTATAATGTTTAGGTCTGTAAGAGGAATTCTGTGGGTACTAACTCCCCACTCACATACCTTAGTGGGGTCATAGTAGTGCAAAAAAGCAGGATCAGCTCTCAAAACAAATCTCCTCACCTTCCAGTTTTTCCTCTTGTGCCCCTGCAAAACAGAATAATTAAAGTTACCACCAGTAAATACCTCCTGAAATGGCCATTTTCCTGCAGGCTGTAGGGGAGACCTAAGTAGGTTTTGGAGCCAAGAGGGAAAAATCTTTTCTGACATCTTAGTAACTCCCATGATTTTCTTCTTAACATCCTTCTTCATACATTGGTATTTCCTTCCTCTCTCCCTTCCTTGTGCTGAGAACTAAGAAAGCAGAATGACAGGACCAAGTGATTATATCCCTGACTCCTGCTCTTCATTTTAGATTAAATACGTGTCTTGGATTAAAAACCCATGCTGTGCATTCATGGAAGGGATTATGCCAAGTCCTTTTTCAGGTCTTCGCTCTTTTGCCCCCAGCCCTTGTTTGTAGCAAGTCTTGCAGACTTAGGGTGGGATCCTGTAAATAATTACTGCTGGCAGGTAATTGTGCCCAAAGAAAACAAGTCTCAACACCACCAGAGCATCCATGTGGATATGAGTGACTCTCCACAGGTAAATGTCCACTTCATGCAAAAGTCAATCTACTCAGCTTTGACATTTGTCTGTGGCCAGCAGAATGCTGTAGCTGCTCGCACGACCCAATGGGATAGGTTAAACCAGAGGAACAGTGGATCTGCTGGGAAGTGAATGTAACACCTCTGGTGGGATTTGGAGCTTATCTGGGACTTTCGGTTTTGATACTATTTGATACCTTTCTGTATACACTCACTATATACAGAATATCCAATTAATCCTGCCTAAGCAACAAGCTCCATAGCTCACTTCTTTATTACTAAATACTCTTCACCACATGATCTCTGTAAGTAGTACTAACAGGCGAGTTAGCTCTGCTGACCACAGCTCTCCAGCCATGCTTGTATAAACCACATTCATTCTCTAGGAAGCCCTAAGAGCTGTAATTTTTCTTGCTTCCCAGTGAAGGTTCAAAAACTGTATTTACCTGTTTGACTAAGAACCCTTGCTTCACAATTGTCCCTCTTAATTCAGAGATGTTAAATTGCAGCTCTTCCTTGGAACTGGTATTTTTCTTACTGCTCTCAGCCTGCAAAGAGGGAAAAGACAGTTTCACTTTTCAATCTAAACACACTCTTAAGTACAAAGTTCTGCATGTTATTTTCCTTGAGCTGTTTTTACCTTATATTGCCCAAGTAAATTGTACTCTGTAGCCCTCCCTGCTGCTCAGCTTTGTAGGCCTGAGATTTACCAGCAACAGATTGCAGCTGTAAAGCCTATACACGCACTGTGGCCTTGAGTTTTAGCATAACTACAGCACGGCCTCCGTTAAATGCAGACACAGCACTGCACTCAAGGGACACACCCCTTTTAATGCCTAATTATGTAATTTGTAGATCCTTCCATATCCATGTAGTTATTTGTCTCCAGCAAAAGTGCAAGTGTTAATGCTACTAAAAGCCTAGAGCTGCTCCTTCTGTGTTTGATTTTATAGCCTGCATATTTTGCCTTTGGTTGCATGCTGTGTGTGTCCCGGTTAGCACTGCCCCAAATCAAGCATGTCACGAGGGGCAGAGGAGGTGCCTGTTAGCAGCTGCATCGCTTACAAACATGTACAGCGCGGTGGAGTCGTCGAGGAACTGCTCAGAGAGGTCACTGTAGCGTGTGGCCTCAGTGCTGCGGGCTCCCACGGGCTTGATGAAGTTCTCCTCCATCAGCATGGATGCCAAGGTGATGGCCTCGAACCGTGACACAGCAAAGCTATTGGAGATGAGCCAGTCCACCAGGGCAGAACCTGCAGGGAGAAAGGCAGCTCTCATACCAAGATAATGAGCTCTTCCAAGGTGAGACAAGTGGTCTCCTGCCACACAGGTCTTCATTTGCTGAAACATTTTGGTACCATCACAAAGACTGTCAATAAAGTGCAAAGTTGACCAAAAGTGTGGGGCCCTGCATATGCCTCCATATATTCAAAGAGCAAGAGAGAAAGGTGTTGGAGAGCTTGGCTGCCCCACTACTTTTCACTGGGCCACAAGTGATCCCACTATGAAGGCAGTAGAGCAGCTCCCTTGTTTCTGCAGCGTGGCATGTCAGATGTGAGGAAGCTCTCTGTGGGCAGTAGGTGTACCTGTGAAGGTCTCTTTGTATCTGTTGCCTTGCTCCAAGTTGCGGGTCCTCTTGATTCCAGTACTGCTGTCACACATTCTCTCCACTATGTGGCTGTAAAAGAGCACAGGACAACGTTAGTAGAATAGAAAGACAGGCAGAAATTTCCACATACTTCTGTCAGCGCCTGGGATGTCCTCATGATTACCAACATCAACATGGGAAACAGTCTAAATACTCCCCCAGGAGTTTTGTCCTAGAGTATGGTATGGGAAAACTTTATTCTCCCCATAGCAGCAGTAAACAAGATACCTTACAAAGTATCTTTCAATTTAAAGCACTTCACCCCCCCCCCCCCCCCCCCCCAAATCCCCTGGGTTTTTAGTTCCAAGCATGGTTTGCATGCATGGAGCTTACAGTACTTAAAAGAGAGCAGACCACCCAGATACTGGATTACATAGGAGTGTGCTGTTTTCACATCCAGATCTCTAGTTTCTCAACAACTACAAACTCTCACTAGGCTCTTTCTGCCATGAGAAGCACTGAAATAGTCAGCAACTTCCAGAGTCATTTCCCTTCTGGCCCTGCTCAGAGGAAGTTTGCCCATGGGTGAGCACTTTCCCTTCCAGACCCCTCCTGCTGGAACCTTTCCACATCAGCAATGTCCCACTAATGAAGGAAAAGGGATTCTGACCTGGCTGCCCAGGAGCATTCCATGGATACAGCCCGGGTTTAAGGCAACTATCATATATGTTAAGTTTCCCTTTTTTCCCATCCTGCTTGGATTTTATTGAGCTGTCCATGTCATCTCACACACCACTGGGCTGATGCATTTGCATTTATTCTTCCCACTCTGTGTGTGTGTATCTGTGTGGGGTGGTTGTTAATGGCTGTAACTCAGATTTGGGTACAGGGAACAGCAAAAACACAATGAGGGAGTTCATTGCTTGTCCTGGTTACATTGCTATCGGCAGCTTGCTTTTATCTGGGCCTAATTCTGGAAACGCCCCAGTGATAGGGTTGCAGTAAATCAAAGAAGTCAGGAGAAGAGGAAAAGACTAGGGAGGAGTTAGAAAGTGAGTGTCATTGAGAAGGGATACATTTTTCAAGTCGTACCGGTCTGTTCTCATATTCCAGGCATGGACAAGTAATGGTGCAGCCATCCAAAAGTATCCTGCCCTTTGGAGAAGGCTCCTTCTTGCCTCCTTCAATTTTGTAATACAGCAGCTTATCTTGAAGCAGAACAAACCATCTCACTTTCCAGTTACGAACAATATGTCCCTAGAGGGGAAGAAATCCACACAGCTAACTTTAACAGAAGCATTAAGAAATTACTGTGTTTTCTCTTTTTTTTGTTCTTGTTTTGTTTTGGTTTTGGTTTTTGGTTGTTTTGTTGGGGTTTTTTTTGGGGGTGTGTGTGTGTGTGTGTGTGTAAAAATACCATAAACTAATAGGGCATTGTATGAAAAGAAACACAAAGCTGCTTTGCTCTTTCTCCAGCAAGGACATCTTTGCTGGCAAGAATTGATGCTTGCAAAAGCTCATATGAATTATCTGAGAGAGCTGCCATTTGGGTGCACACCTGCCCACTGACAGCACTGGGCAGGAACAGGGCTAAATCTGAAATGTGTGAGGGCTCTTGGAGACAAACTCCTTCTCTCTGGTGACCCTGGGTGGTGGCTGATGTGTTTTGTTCTTTGTCATTTTGATGTGGCTGTAGGTGCCAAGTGGTCTTGAGACCTCTTTGCTGGGTGAATTGCCTTTTCCTTACATCCCCTCTTACTACTAATGAGTGGTTTGTTCCTACCCTGCCTGCCTCTAATCTCCTGGGCTAAAACATTCCCTGTGCTACCGTTTACCGTAAAGGAAATATGTTTTTTAATGTCAAAAGACCAAACAAAGGCTGATGTTGAATGCCTCCTGAGTTATACCAGAATACAGACAAACCCTCTTCTTTCCCCCCCCCAGCTCTCTTTAGCCCAGCTATACAGGAGAGCAAACCTCAGTGAGGGCTGGCAGTCTGACAGTGTCAGGTCCAGCTTCGGTGTGAGGATCTGACTTGCATGTCTACAGGTGATGGAGCCTTACAGCTGGCAGGCAAAGCTCTGGCTAGAGGAAGCTCTGATACCTGGGAGAGGGGAGGCAAAGCTAGAAGAAAGGAGCATGCAAGGTCCGGTTGTGGCAGCAATCAAAGCTCATTAATTCTCTATGAGTAAAGGGGAAAAACAGCAATTTTCACAAAAAGGTGGGGTAATGAGCCTCTAAAATCCAGGGCACTTAGATCTAATGTCTTCTACTCTATACTAAATACAATTCATCTAACTTGGGATTGTTTACTCCTTCCCTTTGCCTTCTTCAGTGTTTTTTGACATCTGTTGTAAAGTCCCTTGGCCATTTTTCCTGAGAGTTATGTTCTTTGCTATGGTTCTTTTCTTTCCTTCTTGGAGATCTCTTCTTTTTTCAAGAGGTTGCCTTACCTTTTTTTCTTTGTCATTACCTGACTTCCACACATTTACTTTATAATATGTTACAATATGTAATTGAGTCATTTATAATGCATTTATATCATCTCCTTGCTTCCGCTCCCTTCTTAAGAAAACTGTTTTCTTTACCTGATCCCACTCCTTCCTCACTTTTTTCTGCTGGATCCCTTGTTCCCTTCTCCCTCAGTTTTCTTTAGTCACCCTCTTTGAGGTCTCCTTCCTATCCAGCTGTGTATCTCTCTGATGTTGCACGGACTGCTGGCAGTTACAGCTCAGTGTGCTGGTGATATCCTATTGCTCTCACGCACTCGGTGCCTTGGCTTCCCATCTTGAATTCAGTAGTCACTTAAGAGACACAAAATAAAACCATAGCCCAGAGAGGAGAGCAGGAGCTGGGCTTGCTCTGCCCTCGCTGCAGAAGGGAGGATGAGGAACAGCTCGGACCGTGCAGCCCTTCTCCGTGCAAAGCACAGCTTCAGGTGGCCAGTGGCTGGCCGGGCTGCCGGGAGCCCTGCCAAGAGAGCTCCTGACCACGATTACCTTCATGTTAGCACCAGAAGCACTGCCACGTACTGTAGAAAAGCATTTCCCAAGGCGTGGCAAACCTCTGAACAAACCTTTGAATCACATATTTCGTGTGCAGTCAAAGGCCATATGAGTCATTGAGACAGGGTCTTGGTACTAAAAGCAGCTTATGCCCCTTGCTTAATTGCCCTCTTGTGTCCCAGGCTCACCACAGACTGTCCTCAACTGATTTGGTCCTGTAGGACAAGTATTGGAAAGGCTGAAAGCTGTCACATCATCTTTCAGCTCTTTTCTCTGTATTGTGGCTAAAATTTTCTTCCAGTGCAGCTTAATGAATGTAGAAGAAAGAAGTTATTCCAAACACATTTCTACAATTGAATTGCTGTGATCCCCTTCCAAAAGGATACTCAGTCCTCCATGCTCTCATATGAAATGGGAAACCCTGCTCAGCTGGGTCACTAAAAAGGCGCAAACTATCTTAAAAACCTGTCAAAACATATTTCCTTTCTCCATCCTCCCATGGCTGCTTGCACAGCTGCCACATTGCCATTTGCCAGGTAGTTTTTTATGTGCTCTTTGCAGAGGTGTGCCCTAGGTGCAGACACACTGTCTTTGATACCTGAGTAATCCTGATAGCTGATTCACTTTCCTCTGGGCAAATGCCAACACAGGGAAAATCGAGGGAGGGTAGGGAACACCTGCAGTTCCGCAGGTCCCCCGGCAGGCATCTGCCCAGAGCTGGGGGAGGGAGCCCCTTTCCCAGGAGCAGGCAGGAGCCCCTCAAGCCCAGCGCGCCAGGCGCTGCCGTGTCCAGAGCCCTGCCTCGGTCCCTGCGCAGGGGCTGCTTCCCCGAGCAGAGCCGCCCGGGGGGAGCGGGGCACTCACCCTTTTGACGAGGAAGCCCTCCTTCAGGACTCCAGCTGCTCCCTGCATCGTGGCCAGCAGGGAAGAGAGCAGAGCCCTCGCCGAGAAGCGCCCAAGCCCTGGCAGCCTGTCCCTCTGCACGCGATTTGCTTAAGAAAGCTCATTTTTCTTTGCTACCCTCCTCCTCCAGTGTGACGCACTCTCCCCTGGTTTTTTTCTTCCTCTCTCCCTACCTATGAGACATTAGTTAAACAGTGACCTGGCTCTGATACATTACCTGCCCTCTGGGAAGTAAAACAAAGGGAAATCTAAAACAGATCTCAAAAGATTGTCACAGCAGTTACTATAGCAAAAAAACACCACCAAGTGAGTTGGCCAGCATAAGCAGCCACATGATGACAAATCAGGTATTGTATGGGAGGGAGAAGCAGAATTATACAATCACGTCCCTCAGAACTTCAGACTACCGCTTAAAATTTCTCATCTATTAATCACATCTTATAGGGGTTCCACAGATCAGAACAGCTTAAGTGTAACATACAAAATATTATGACCACAAGGAAACTTTTACAAACCTTAAAAGAATTTCTTTTGCTAGAAATTTATTTTACTGAAGAAGCCCCAAAGCACCTAAAAGCCCATTCTACTTTCAGTGACCTCTGGGCATATAAACCAAAATTCTCAACTTAATATCCTAAATCCCTACATAAGCAACTATTCAAGCTTTTAGTAAAGCAGTCTGATCAATGAACACTGCGCAGTGACCTCTTGTAAGTCCTGAGCACCTCTGAAACAGAGTACAATTTTTGTCTCAGATGTTTATTGAATTTCTGAAGACTTTGGCCATGATAAGTCTGTCTGACAGATTTATCAAATCTTGTCCTGATGAAATAAACCAGTATGAGTGTTTCAGGCAGAGCTGCTGTTCAGGAGTAAGAGTCTTTGCTGTGCTGTTAGCACTGCCTGACTTGTATAAAATTAAGGTGATACATGTGGGCAGAACTAGGGGCTGTGGTAAGAAATACAACGTAGAGTATAACAAATAAACAAAAGCATTCCTTGCTATGTCAAAAGAGAGTCCTGAGCTCAGTTAAGACAAAGTCACCGGATCAGGTTACTGGTCACACTTTCATGTACCAAGGAAAAGGAACAAAGAAACATTTCTCTATCTTTATACTATTTTTTTTAATCTTTTAGCAAGGAAGAGTAAGACAAAAAAAATTCAAATCTGACAATGTACTGGGGACAACCCAGAGAACAGTCCTGCAGAGATCATGAGAAATACAATAGGTGGCTAAACACTACTTGCAGTTAGAAAAATCTATTGCTGTGTAAAGAGAAAGCATGTGGTTGAGATTTCAAAAGCAGCCGACCTGTATGGAAGTTACCTATGTACCTCTGTACCTCTATGTACCTATGTACCTCTACTCCCTTTGCCACTTTGGAAAAGACAGGCAGCAATGAGGCAACCGGCTGCATAAGTCATATCCCAGTTAGGTTTGTCCTTCAGTCCACCTAAAATAAGTACAGTAAGTTTAACAGAACACCTAGAAAAGTATGTTTTGCTGTGGGTATGCAGTATTTTCAAAGATATAAATGGAATTTGTTGTATTTTTTATATTATTGTCGCCTTGAAGCAGAAATGAACTGAATATATTTATTTTAATTTAAAAAATAATCTGCCTCTGTGCATATACATAAATATATATAAATAAAAGTTGTACTCAGAAGCAGAATCCTGGGAAAAGAACTGATACAGTCAGCAGAAAAAAGACAATAAATTTCGGGTCACAGTGTTCTGTACATCAGAATTAAACTTGAGAAAAAAGAAGAAAACTTAAGTCTGGGTACACAAGAGACATTACTGCTGCATGCATTTCCTGGACACGCACTCTTTATATAACCAGGAATAGACCGTTCCACTGTTTGGTATTTGAAGTTTGACTTCACATTGTTCAGCTTGTTACTGCAGGCAGTTTATAACAAGGTGGGTGAGATAATTTCATGCTAGTGAGGACAGGTAGAAGCTTGCAGGGGGTTCTCGCTCAGACAGTGATCTCAGAATTGCACCATAACCAGTCCTTGCTGAAGGTAGGAGCGAGCTCTTTTTCTCCAGTGTGCAGACCACCCACAACCCCGCAGAAGGATCCTGGCAAAATTACCATTAGCAACAATGAACTTTATTGTCAAACTGCTGGTGAATGGTGAAGCAAACATTGCTGTAAGCTGATCATTAAACAACAGGTCTGTATCAACTACTTTTTCTAATCTAGAGCCTTCACTTTCTTCAATACTTCAAAGTATTTCTTCAGTACTTTGGATATTTATCATACACACACACACACACCCCTTTCCCGTCTCATTCTGTAGTTAATCAAGGCTAACAAACTGCCCCTACATTGCTCCCTGAGGCTGAGTAAACAGATCTTTCAGGGTCATACAGCGTAAAATGAGTCAGTCAGTAGGTCTGGGCTGCCATAGTCATGTATGTGCTGGGCAGGCAAGTTCTGGCACTGAGGTCTCCCGGTGGAAAAGGACATGCTTCAATCTGTATAAACCCAGGGAGCTCTGTATCAGCTCTTCTATAGGACTTGAAACTCACTGAAGGGAAGGACTATCGGTTTCCTCAGATCTGTTTTAGAGTGTTTTCCACATGTCAGTGCAGTATTTTAACAGCAAAGCACAGTTGAGTGCTTTACATTTTTTTCCATTCAGAGTGACCCCGAATCCTTTATATGCCATAGAATTTGCATTGGGGTGGCCAGGAAGAGCCAGCTGTAGGCTTCAGGACCACAGGATGCTACTCAGGGTTAGAGGGAAGGGCAGGAGTAGCCAGCCCTCAGTGCAGACTGTGCTATTTCAGCTGGCCGACCTGACAGACACTGCTGGTACCTCCAGGCTGGTCCCTCAAGAAGCCACCAACAGCTGATTAAGAAACTTGCCCAAAGGGCAACCCCTGTCTCATGCTCTGAGACACCCATCGTTATCATCCTGTCACATGGGGGATTACACATACCCATTTTTTTCAAAGCAGCCTCTTAAGATGCTAGGACTTTGCCCTCCAGTGTAGAACATCACTAAGTAGTTCCTTTAGTGGATTAGGGATAAAATGAGATGAAAACAAACCACATCAAAATAAAGAATGATGAAACATTTCTAGATAAAAGTGAAAGATGACAAGTGTTCAGAAGTATTCTGACACGATGGCATTTTTAAAATTAACTGGAGAAAGGTGGCAGTGTTTGAAAACAGTTAATAGCCTAGACTCTGGAACAAAAAAATATCAGAAAGTAAATACCAAAGTGCAGATTCCGCTATGAAGAAAAATGTGCCAGCTCCACTGCATCTGAAAAAAAAACAAGGGCCAGAATCAGAAAGAAAACAGCAAGGAACTATCACTGCATTAAAAACCAGACAAAGCACAACAGCCCCAAGAAAGCAGGGCACCAGTTCTTTAGCAGCCACTATTGCCCCTCATCAAAACCAGAACACTGGGCTGTGTGTTACTGGACTGTGTGCCTGAGCTGAGCTGGGACCCCTGTTTGTTTTGTTTTTTTTTTTTTTTGTATTAATGAGTCCTGATCAGATAAGTAAAACTGTCTCCAAGGTGCTAATCTTACAAAATTGATTTGGGATATGAAAGTCAAGCTGAGATCCTTACAATTAACACATCGGGCCAAGCCAGGATGGAGATTTTGGCCTTGCAATTACAACTCAGTAAACAGCAGGGTTGCTAATGAACAGCAGGAATACGCTACCTCGCTTTAGCGAGACATTCCTACAAAACACACGACCCTTATTTTAAGCACTTGGTAAGCAAATGCAGTTCCCGCATACAAAATAGACCGGCTGAGATAGAAGGGATCATCTCGGCAACTTCTGAAGATCCTCAAGTCACAGGCTATGGCAACTGATGCAGCAGAGTCCAGGCCCAGCATGGGCTTCACAGGTTCAGCACTCCCTTGCACACACCTCGCGAACAGGTCTCTAACATGGCCCTCCTTCCAGCTACTGCAACACATGAGAAATACCCACTAAGTCATCTTGCATCTTTTATTTAAGCTTCTTGGTTAAAATTTGCTCAGGCAGCAGGAGAGACTGATTTTATCTGCCAGGGTAACAAGTGATTGAAATGTATTTATCTTAAGCTGCTTTGTTATCATTCTCACCTCTGTCATTTTTTTCAGGCACTCAAAACTGACACTGTATTGCGTACACCAGCATGTTGAGGCTCTAATGAGAAAAGCTCTTGTACTTATTGAACAAGTTTATCAAACTTTTGCCTAGGTTACCGACAAAAATGTTGCTCACACCAAAACAGCTCTCAGAAATAATACTAACTGTAACCCCTTGGTAGCACTCCAGGAGGCTCATTTTTCAGCGCTTTCCTTTAGAACATTATTTTGGCACACAGATCACACGGTGACTACATTTCTAAACACTCGGTTCTCTGGACCGAGTACCACATACTGCATTTAATGGAAGTCAAAGCACTACTTTAGCAAGAAGGCGAAGTTGGAAGAGCTGTTCAAACAGGAAACTGATATTATCACACCTTCAAGCCATGACAAGGCTGTCAGACACAACTTCTGACAACAAATTTGAGAAGGTAATCATAAAAAAAAAAGTCTGTTTCTTGATTTTGTGATGACATATTCAGGCATTTTCCAATGTTCTGCAAAGACTGGAAGTTACTTAACTTTTTTGGCTTTGCATTGTTATTACGAGTTGGGTACATGTGAACTTTTCTTATAACCAAGCATGGATTGCAGTATGTATCCCTTTGTGAATGCTTTTTGTGGCAACACCACGTAGCAATGATATTGTTTGTACTGTAGCAGTACAAACTAGTATTAAGAATTCCTAGGGAAGGCTCAAAGCCTCATTTTTCATGCATTCTGCCTCTACCAGCACAAAATATTAAGAAAAAAAGGAGATGGGCAATATAGGACATGACAATAAAGATGTAAATATATTTAAAAACTTAGCAATTTGGAAAGGTTACTTAAACAAAAACTACTCTTCCCAGTTCCCAGACACAAGGAAAACAGGATTATTTTTTTTTTTTAATACTCCAACACAGAAAGCACATCTTGTTTCTCTTCTTCAGAGAAGATAAATAGGTTGTTTCTAGAGTGAAGAGCTCAGTCCAG